TAGGGTAAAAAGACCCCAAAGAAATGTAGCCAGTTTCTTGGCTAAAAGTCAAAATGTCCTTGGGCCTGTTAGCAAAATACTATGTTCCAAAGGCCTCTAGAACTCGAGGCATCAAATTGGTAAATAATAATAATAATAATAATAAATATCAGAGTATCTTATGTTTACTGCTGTGAGAAGCAGGAAGAGCATTTATATCCTGTGTTAGATTTTATTCTACAGAGATACCCACACAGCATGGTCCAAAGGAACCAAAGTTTCTTCAGAGTCACACAAAAAATGCTGATATTACCTTGCATCTCATAACTTAACAGATTTGTTTGGCCACATCACTGGCAAAGTACCAACTTGGATGCCAACAGGAGGTTAAAAAGAATCTTGTCTGAGCTCTCAGGAAAAACAGTCATGGTATTTATACCTTTTATTAGGTATGTATTTCCACAGAAGTGTGATGCCTACAACATAAACCAAACAACCCACACGGATTAGGTTATGGAAAACTACCAAGCATTCCACAGTTTCAGAAAACATACCTACAGATCTCCGCATTTCCAAGTGGAGTTCAGAGCTGCCTTGCAGTGCAAAATCTGTTGCCTGGCGGTAAAGCAGCCCACAGGATTCATTTGACACATCAAAGATGAATTATTTTAAACTTAAACATGGACGTAATGTAGAGAGAAAACAAAGTTTGCTAGATTTTTATAAAACAAAGCCTCAAATGAATTTTTTTTCAACGAAGACCAAAGTCCAGACCTATGCCACTGAGCCTCTTCTGTAATCTTACATTTAAAAGACATCATGAATATTATGGGAGTTCCTAAGCAGTTAAAAACTGATAATGCTCCAACTTATCCATCTAAAAAATTTCAATAATTTCTCTCTCAATGGCATATTAAGCATGTCACTGGAATCCCATACAATCTACAGGGACAAACCATTATTGAACATTCTAATAGGACATTGAAAGAAATGTTAATTAAACAAAAAGGGGGAAAAGATAGCTCTCCTTGACATATATTATTAGATGCTTTATTTACTCTAAATTTTTAAAATCCCAATGCTCACAGTTTTATAGATGCAGAAATGCATTGGTCCTGTATAAAAGAAACAGACTCTCTGCAGCCTATATGGTGTAAGGATATGACTACAAAAATATGGCATAGAGCACATGTATTAAAATGGGGAAAAGGTTACACTCATATTTCCACAGGCCCTGATCAGTTTTGGATTCCAGACCGTCTCATAAAGTTTCGAGATGAACAAACACCCACGCTTTGATCCTGACCAGGCCACCAAACGAATGGCTCATCTTACTTTGGGCCCGACTACACGGAGAGTGGCCAGACCATTGCCCTCTACCAATTCTTGTGCCCTTCCCACATGGGGTCAAACTGAAGAAATTAGCTGAGGAAGGTGATCGCATGGGTCAACGTCTGGGACAAAATCATAATCCTAAAAACTTTATTTTTAGGTATGCTTGCAATAACCACTGTGCAGGTGACTACTGTTGCTAATTTTTCTGATTGGACTTATATTCCAAATCCACTTCTAAATCAGGCTGTTCACTGGTGAGATCCCACTATCCCAATGTACACTGATGATTCTAATTGGGTGCCTGGACCCTACAATAATTGGGGTTCCTTATTCCCTCAGGAGGAGGGGCAGACACTTAATACATCTCATATAGTAGGAGTCCAGGGTGCTCCCATTTGTATAGGCTCTGAAGAGCACTGTTTGAAGGGAACATATCATCTTGGCTATCTACTCTAAGAAATGGCACAGAAGGAGATAGTAAAAAGGCTATGTATATTTTAGTGGGAAAAGGATTCAAAGGTAATAATACTAATCACACTTTCTTTCCACCTCTCATGACCCCTTGTCAGACACCAGTAGTCTCAGAGTTAAGTTCCAGGATACATTGGGAACAATGTAGAGGCCCGGAAGTCTGAGTTCTTGTTAATACTTCCTATGGAAGTATCATTGATTGGAGCCCTGTGAGCTCGGCTCGGACGAAAAGGTAAGGTAAAGAGTTAAGATGGCATAAAGAAAATAACTCTTTAATATCTACTGAAAGTAATGCCACAGAAGAGTTGGTTTGGCATGGTGGGGGCATGTCTCCACCCTCTCCTCATTTCGAGGGAGGTGCTACTCAAGAACATCTTTGGAAATTAATTACTGCTTCTACACAATTATGGGCTTGGAGAGGGGAAATTTGGAAAAATAACTCTAATAATAATACAGAATTATCATTTGCTAAGAATCTTTCTCATAATATTATGGCTTGTGCTAATGACTGGATCAACTAAATGGAATCAGACAGAAGGATCTGTTACTTGTGAAAATTGTGCTCTGTATACCTGCATAAATTCCACTGGTCCAGTTAATTATACTACACAGACTTTATACATACTCTGTGCTCATGTGGGAGTTTGGATGCCTGTGCAGCTTGATTGACCTTGGGAAGAATCACCCCCAATGTCTATGCTTTACCATATTCTTGAAAATGTAAAGCTCAGAACCAAAAGAATGATTGGCCTTATTATTGTGGCTATCCTGGGGATGATTGTTATTACTGCTACTGCTACAACAGCTGGAGCATCCCTACATCAGAGTATTCAGATTGTATAATTCATACAGCAATGGCACTCAGGCTCTGAAAAATTATGGAATTCTCAAAGACATATTGATAGTGTTCTCAATGCTGAAATTACAGATTTGGAATCTGCTGTAGTTATGCTAAGAGACTGAATTGTTAGTTTACAAAGATAGCTGTCATTGAGATGTGATTGGAATATATCTCAATTTTGTGTTACACCTGTACATTGGAAGTCAATGACATCCCCTTGGGACCAGGTTAAAAAACATTTGTTAAATCACGGTAATATGATGCAGGAGATACCGAGATTGCAGGCAAATATTACTCATACTTTTCCTAGTCAACTAAAAAGTATTTCTGGTCAAAATCTCTTGGAAGGAATTGCAGATGGCTTAGGGAAACTAAATCCATTTAATCAACTTAAGATTTCTAGCACAATGTATTCTAGTCTGTTTTTATTAATAATTGTTATGTTTCTTCTGTTGCTTATAGTCTGGCAGAGGTCCTCCCAAAAACCAAGTGATTTCTCAGCATCGTGCTGCTGCAGTTGATTTTATGTTACAAAATCTTGCTAAACAAAAAGGGGGAGATGATGGAGCTCAGTTCTGGAGAAGGTGAATCAAAGACAAGACAGGTCCAGCTGTCCCTTGAAAACAAGAGAATGTTTGGACATTGGCGGAACACCGCCTCCCAGTCAAGGGCAGTACACGGCCTTGGGATAGTAAGGATGATAGTGGATGGGCTTGTGTTTTCCTTTCTCATGGACTAGAGTTCTGGGAAAGGGTTTGTTTAGTAACAGAAAAGAAAAACACCCTTTACTTTGAACTTTGCTTGATTTATGTTTTTCATGCTGTATCCTTGGCTGACCCTGCTCATTACATATAAAGAGCCACTCTTAGAATTACACTCGCCTTTCTCCACCAGAGAGTTTGCTCCTTTGCCTTCAATCATTCTGTCCTCCACCAGCAGACCTGAGTCTCTACAGGGATTAAATTTCTGTCAATAACACTGTATCAACACAGCAAATTCACATCACTTCTCAAAGGTCCCACATTGAGCAAAATAAAAAAGAGACACAGTATTGTTTCATTTACAATTTACTAGCTCTTCCAGTGTTTCAGAGAGGTACAGAGGTGAACAAATAAGACGTAAAGTGGACGTAGAACACAGTACACAAGTATCTTGATTGACTCAACCTACTGGTGCCATTTTCCAGCCTATTGGTAACTATGCCATCAGTCTCCATCCAGGTGATGTTATAATTCACAGGGGTGGGAGGAACCTTAGTATCCAGAAATTAAAGAAAACAAAGTTAATTTAGTTGTTACCTAAATTTCAATATCTGCATTTGCCTGCATTCTAGTCTATTCCCCGCAATGAAGACCTTCCCAAGTGCTTCCTGTCAGTGCCTTGATGAAAAATGATAGGACTCAGGCCAGGCATAGTGGTGCACACCTTTAATACCAGCACCTTGGAGGCAGAGGCAGGCAGATCTCTGTGAGATGGAGGCCAGCCTGGTCTACCTAGTGAGCTCCACAACAGTTGGGGCTACAAGGGAGACCCTGTCTCAAAAAAAAAGACAGGGAAGGGAAGGGAAGGGAAGGGAAGGGGAAAGAAAAAATGATAGGACTGTAGTAATTAATTCAGCCAATAACAGTTGTCTCCCACATTTGGTCTCTAAGTCAGATGAATTTAATCACCTAAATCCAGTCTCCTAAAAACATCTTTTTACTAAGAAAGCAATACTCTTAAGCACTAATTAAGATGGTATGGTGGTACATGCCTATAATCCCAGTGCTCAGGAGACTGAGGCAGATCTCTGTGAGGTCAAGGCTAGCCTAGTCTACATACCGAGTTCCAGACCACCCAGGGCTACACAGTGAGTCCCTGTCTCAAAGAAAAACTGCATGGTGACTAAAAACAAAGGACTAAGGGAACTACAACACTGATCCACTGATCAAGAACAGAGTGTAATTTCCAGGAAATCTCATGAATAAAGATCATGATTAAGTTCTTCTTTTCTCCTCACTCTGAGTCAAAACATACGATAAAGGAGATCTCATGATCTTTAGGTTGACATGTGAAAGTGAACGCTTAAATCCAGAAACGGTCTTCTATTGAGTAAGTGGAAAAGACATGCCTGTACAGATAAGCTATGTTAGTCCCTTCAGGCCAGGCCCTACAGTTAGAACCTTAACCCGCCTACAAAGTGCTTACACATCAACAAGAAGATCAAAGATCGGAATTAGCTACTGGACAAGACCTTGAAAAACTTAGTTCATAATCCACATGTCTAAGTTAGAATAAATATCAATATATTAATAGAGTTAAGAACGAAAATGAACACACCTTAAAGTTGGAGAGGGCTATGTCCATGTATATACTGGTTAGACTATCTCATACTGATTATTTGTTATGGCACGAGAGAGGCAGTAGGCGAGAAAGATTCCAATTAGCTGGAAAAGAAAACATGAACAAAATTAAACACATGCACAAAAGAATTTGAAGACCTCAGGATGTAGCTGTATTTTCTTTCATTTGTAATTTACCATAATTTCCTTCTCTGAGTTTTTTCTACATGTGTCTAGATCACATTCAAAGAGTATAAGAAGTCTTGCTACTAACCAGGACCCAGAACTTCATAACCAATACTAAGGGAAAATTCAGGAGACATGGGTTTTGGAGAAACCCTCAGTTACCCCCTCCCCCAAAATGAGCATTTTATCAAGTACAATCTCAATCTATGAGGACAAAGAATTTCTTGATATATCTGTGTTGTCCAATATAGTAGACACTATCCTCATGTGGCAACTGAGGAGTTAAATGTGACTAGAGCAACAGGGGGTTTAATTTTATTTAATAATAGAACAAAGGAGGCCAGTAGGTATTATATTAGTGCAGATTTAGATAATAAGGCATGTTACTATATAACCATATTAGGGCTAGCCTTGCATTATTTCTATTTCTATAATACTAAGTATAAAAAGCTCTGAAAACACTCAGAACTACAATACAAACATTTTGTGCTGTAGTGAGTAGCACAACTTGGAAATGATTCAAGCTACAACATAACAAAAGGGACATATTAAATGTGGGGTTGTATAATCTAAATTTTAATAGGTTGGAACTTACACACAACTCACCAGAGAGTTGCAACCCAGGGAAGAAGGATTCTAATAATGTTTTGGAACCTTGGCTGATGGTAGAGAATAAAGCAACATTCCTATCTATTTCACGTTTTGATTAACTATGAGGACACTGTCTCTTCACAGAGTTAACTGCTTTCAGAAGATGTGTAGTGGGCTTGGGATGCAGATCAGTGGTAGAGTGTTTTCACGCCATTGGTGAGGCTTGGGTTCAACACCCTGCACCACAAAATATACATTATAAATCAAATAAAAAGATATTGTAGCTGCTAAGATCTAATTCTAAGTGTTACTTTTATAGATTCAAGGTATGATTAGCCATAGCAATGGGAACAAACTTCAGAGTAACTTGCAGTTGTGTAAAACACAGGATTTAAAATATCTCCCACTTAAAGAAAAAAATAAACTGACTCAATCAAAAAAATCAAAATCACTACGATTCATCCAAAGTAGTTCCCTCACTCCACCAAAAGAAAGTAAGAGAATTTCTACACCGTGACTAGTAATTGACAGCCTTGCTAAATACAACTGCTCTTACATGCCTTCACTATCTGGTCCCTGGAACAAAACCTCCAAGTTTTCAGAGTGAAAATATTCTATCTTATACTTATATATACAACAAGACATTTCCCAAGGAACAAAGAAAACTTACCTGAAAGCAAGCAACACCAAAGGAAATTCCGGCAACAACTCCCATTTCTGACTCTATAATTGCCATCACCTTTATAAAACAACCCTGATGGAAGAGGCAGACGCATTAAGTATGAAACAAGCAAGCTGTGCTTTACTTTTGGATAATAACTACTTTGAATATTCACCTCTCCACAAAAGATGGTATTGAGTTTCTATTAGCCTTCAGTTATCATTTTACTGAAATCAATTCTGCTTTCATACACCCCCCCACCCCGGTCTCAACTATTCCCACCTTTTGGATTATGCATTTCAAAGAGGCTTGGCAGTTGTATGAAATAATGTCCTACTTAACTTACATACTTCACATTATGCATGTTCATATGAGTAGAAATTGAGTTAGCTCTGTAGTTCATTAACTCCTCAAATACTATCAAAATTCTGTTTAAAATCGCTCCTTACTTCTTCATTTACTTTCTCTGCATCTCCCTGTGGAGAACAACCTTCAAGTTTACAGCAGCTCTTGGGAAATCCTGTTTCTGAGTAATAATTAGTACTTTTCCAATCTCTATAATTGGTGACACCACAACAATGCAACTGAAAAATTAAAAAAAAAAGCATTTTACGGTTCATATTTCCACTTTGTAATCAAACATTGAACCTAACATAATCATCTTTTGTAATTTGTGCTCAAAATACTATGTACTCAATGCTTTCTCTTCTTGATTAATTCAAGAGATCTGCACTTGGTTCTAATATCAAGAATGACAGTTTTAGGCTTGCTTTACTTTCCTGCTATGGTTCACACCAACAGTATTTGTCTATAATGTAAATGAAGACGAAGAGAACAAGGACACAGGAGGGGAATAAAACACAGAGACACCATTTAACAACCTCCCACACTTCTTTCCCATACAAGTAGATAACACCTAGCAGCTGAGCTCCATTCTTTCCTCCAAGGCAATAAGGAATGTGTTTCCCTCTTGAGAAGGCATCGCCTATAACCACTTACAGTACTTTGGATCTTGTCTACTGCTTCGCTTCTATAATCTCCTGTAGAGTTGTACTCCTTCAAAGCATTTTCATAGTTATTTTTAAAGCTGTTCTTAATCTACACCAGAGAAACAAAATGCCAATAAACAAATATTCTCAAAAGTTCTTTTGGTTTCTAGGTCAAATAAGAAATTCTCACATCAACCCAGAGTTATATTTTTGATGTGTGGTAACTAACCTCTATGGTCCAATCCTGTCTTCCAAGGGGTATGGTTTAGCTGGAGGAACTACTAAGCAGAACATTACAATATAATGTAACATAAAACCCACTACAAGTTCAAGGTGGTATGATAGTACGCATTTATCCCAAAGGCATCCGTGTACTGCTTGTTTCACCCTTCAGCCTAAACTGTTCTCCATGGACAAGCATGATGTCTAATGAATTAAACTGCAAAACCTTACTTGAGAAGATTGTACTAAGGGTTCAAAAAGCACTCAAATAAGCCTCCAGTACTTAATAACTTCCCAACAACTCCATGTTTACTTGATTTCAATACTATTTATATCATGATTAAGCTTTGATGATTTGCGTTAATCATATCCTCTTTTCAAAACGTGACTTAAGTGGAGAAAGTGTTAACATTGTGTTATATTTCTATTTTACCTCCCTTTTAGTAAAATTAAAAACTGCACTAGCTCCAGTTTAACTAGTATTTATACATAGAATCATAAAATTAGAAACTCATGTAATTATGGGTAACATTTTCTTCTGATTATCATCCTACAAATTTCTGAATTTTCATTTACATTAAAAGCCAGAATGTTTACTACAAAGCCACTATTGTCAGATGCAGACTGAAAGCTTAACTTTAAATACAACTATAAGTCGTTCTTTAAGTATTAAAAAGCTGTTGTCGACCTCTGTTGCTTTATTTTTAATCTTAGAAGATAAATTTTATCGTACTAAGGTTGTCTAATTCAGGCTTACCTCATGTCTGAAAACAAATCCTACAACAGCGGCAACTAGTTCAATCAAAAATATGAGCGTCAGAAACATCGCATACTGTGGGGTAAAAAGAAAGTCTAAGTCAGCACAAATAAGACACATCACCAATGTGGGGTTGGGTGCAGGAAGATTCTGCTCAATCAGTTCAGCATATTTTTAGTGAGAAGGGCAGGAAAAGCAATATCAAAAGGTCCATCTAAAGATGGCAATTGGCAACTGAGCTGTTAGTTTTCATAAGGAACAAGAAATAGTGTAAATAACGGCTGTGCTCAGTTCCAAGAAACAAAGCCTAGAATACATAAGTCTCTTCTAGGAAAATCAAGAATATTCTAAAGCAAATAAGGACTCACCAGTTTTAGCATCCAGGCAGAAGCTCGACAGGTAGCAAAACAACCAAAGGTACCCAGAAGAATAATGACAATGCCTGTGCCAATGAGCACAAAGGGGACATTGGTGGCCTTCTCATTTAGGAGGGAAAAGTAATTTTCCAGGCTCACCTTACCCCAAATGCCAACGGCAAGAAGGATAACACCAGTGATCTACATGAGAAATCGGAGAAGAGAAACAATAAGGCACTTGCATCTTCAATCACAAACCAGAAAGTGTGTAAGACATAACGTGTCTTAGCAGTCTGGTAGCCACAACACTGTGGCTAGGGTATGGCAGACAAGGGGTAGAGGATAGAAGAGGTAGGAAAGGGTTTTGCACATAAAGGAAGGCTGTGGACAATGCATCTCATCAAAATTATTTAAATTCACCTGTTTTATAGCGTAAACAGAAACACCTAGGCAAGGCATATGTGTCTAGAGATCAAAACTTCCTTAACCGTTTTACTCCTGCCAGAGGAAGGAAACCACCCTGGATGGGGAGGGGGGCAGTGAACAGTGTTTCTGGATTCCAGAAACTTCTCACATCCCCCATCCCCAATTTAGGGGTGGACACAGGATACAAAGGGGATGATACACAAAAGAAAACCCAAGGATAGACTGGTGGGAATAGAGTTACACCATACTTACCTGCGAAAATCTCCCCTCTCATGAAGCAATGAAAAGAGAGATACTATTATGCAAGAGACCCCCTTCAAAGGGAAGAGACAAGCATCTCCCCTCCACAGGTTCAGGAACATCCTTGTTGGTCTAGGGGGCTTAACTCCCTTTTTCGCCTCCGGCTCTGACCTTGATCTCCTGAGACACCTGGGTCCCAGGTCAGCCAGGCATCTAGTACCAAGATCCCGGCGCCACCGATGCGCCGACCTACGCCCAGGCTCGGAGCTCACAGCCCCCGCCTCTCGGGCCTAGGCCACTGGCGCCAGCGTCGAGGTCTCCGGAACCAAGGCCACCTAAACCTTGCCACACTCCAGATCTCAGGTCCTCCGCTCTGGGCCCCCCCCACGCCCCCACGCCTAAGCAAGGGCTCCCAGGCCATCCCCGTGTCTCACCCAAAAGATGAAAGTGTAGATCAAGAGAACGCTCTTGAAACAAGTAATGACTGGTTTAGTCTGCAGCCTCCGAGATGGGGACGCCATAGCTAGCCGGAGACCCTGCGCTGCCGTACCCGGCGATGGAGCAGGGGCAGCAAGGCTCGGAGTACCCGAGTTTTCCCGGAAACTGCCGAAAACTTACGAATACCTGCAACTGAGAAGAGCCGGAAACAGCTAACAATTTTCTAGAGGGTCAAGTTCGGAAGGCTGTCCCGAAAGCGTCGACCATTTCGGAGCGCCCCCTGCCGAGGATTACTGAAAACTACATATAAAGGCTGTAGTGGAGCTTGCTTCATTTTTTGTTGTTCTTCCCAAAGAATCTTTTCTGCCTGCTACTCACCCTTCTCCCGCCTTTATTACTCCATCATAAGTTGTCTATCACCAGCACCGCCTGCAGTGCTGGAAGGTTCGGCCTCCCAGGCCCCTGGTGCCCTAGAAGCAAAACAATAAAAACAGAAGTTCAAAGTGGCCTAAGAACACGTTATCACACAGAGAAATACCACAACAAATATATTTGCAAAGAAAATCAAAGCAAATTGCAAAGAAATGAATATGACTGCATATATTTATACTGACCCTGAAAGCAACAATGGGCTTTATCTGAGTGGGACACTTGAGCGTTTTCTCTTCTCTCTCTCTCTCTCTCTCATTCTTTTGTGCTTCTCTTTGTCTCTGAGCTCTGTTCAAAGCAACCTCTCTGCATCACCATGGCTAGGTCTCTCCTGATGCAAGGGCCCATAATTCTCTTTTCCTTATAAACATAAACATATTCTCCTGTGTCAGGACTCTAAGCAGCCTTCTGAAAACTATCTCTCTCTCTCTCTCTCTCTCTCTCTCTCTCTCTCTCTCTCGTTTTTAATTGCTTTATGCTGTGGGGAGGTGATAAGAAAGAATTCAGGGAAATAACCACTTATTAAAAGGATCTCAATGCTAGTTACTAAAGGGCTGGAGAGATGGCTCAGTGGTTGAGAACACTGGTTGTTCTTGCAGAAGACCAGGGTTCAAATCCCAGCACCCACATGGCAGCTAACAACTGTCCGTAACTCCAGTCCCAGAGGATCCAACAGCCTCTTCTGACCTCTGCTGGCATTGCACGACACGGATGCACTTACCTACATGCAGGCAATACACTCATATACATAAAATAAAAAATTAAATTAAATTGAAAAAATAACGTTGAATTTTAGAATTTCCTTCAGAAGTTCATGAGCTACATCATCCCTCTTCTCTCATCTTCTAAATGGGGAAGTCGAGGGAATGCAAGTTTAACCATTACCTGTAAACTATTTTTAAAAGGAAGGTACTAAGATAATGTCAAGGGAATAATGTGACTCTTCAGTGCTAAAACTGAAAGGCACCATATATTTAGCCCCCTGATTTTTCCCACTAAGAACTAGTTGGTCACAGAGAGGCTAATATGTAAGAACCGCAAAGCTCTGACTAGAGATTCCTGTGCTTTCTAAACCCAGTTTTCTAATCCAGGCTTTCTAATCCAGGCTTTCTAATCCAGGTTGCCTCCTCTATTACACAAATTTTGGATTTACGGAGTCTGCCTCTCCCAAGGGAAATTCTCTCAGTGGTTTTAAGAATTTCCTAGAACTTGAGATTATGCTTTGATCCTAAAGCATTAAACTGCTTACAGGATGGGAATTGATTACCAAAATATTTCCTTTTCCATTATGTCCAGATGTAACTCTGAGTCACCCTTACCAGTAGAATGGAATTTAAAATGCACTCAAAATCAGTCCTCTTCACATTGCCTCAGCATGTTAAGATGAAAGTTGAGGCTCTTCTGTTGTTTCTGTCATGGTTTAGGAATAAATAACACTAATGAAAGACAATTATCCTACGTTAAAAGACCTAGAAAATTTGGATCATGTAAATCAGCAAGACTCCAAATAATATTTTAAAGTAACCTAGAGCTTTAAAATGAGGATACATCTTTATTTCCTGAAGAATATAGGTGGAACTACTTCGCCTGATGGAACAAGTGCATGTAATTATTGAGACATAAATATAAAACTAATTCTATGCATCTTATTAAAGGAGGAAAATAGAAATGGGCATAGACTTTATAGATCACCATGGTTTCTGCTTTCTGGTACATTTTAGACTTCAAGAGTGACCAAATGATCCATTTAAACTGTCCTCCATTTAAATAGGCTATTTGTTTCTCATGGAAACTTCAGGGTAGGGATGTCATTTTCTTGCAATCAGTTTATAGCACATTTACAAAATGATTTAAATACAAATGAATTAATGAATTTATATAAGCACTCTTGTCTCCCTTTTTTACTCAGATACATTAGTTCAATCACTAGCATTTATCTTCCTAGAAATGGAGGAGGAATGATCACGGAGGGAAAAGAAGAACCCGTTACTAGATGTGAAGACTCAATGTCAATATAGAAAAATACACACTTGGTGAAACTTTCTGTACACCTTCCTGCTTCCTTCATGAAAATATATCCTTGCATCGGGGAAAATGATAATCTCTAGTAAATATGAGATGAAACTAACATCAAGTCATACAAATGTATACATTCCTTTGTCCATAGAGTGAGACATAGCACTAACATTTTATAATTGGATATCCAGACATTTGAAGTCTGAAAATAAAATATTTTCTCCAGCTAAATCATGTATGTGGATACATGTTTCAGTCTTATGTATTGTGAACATTGATCTATATTTTTGCATCACAGAATGCATTTTAAGGTCTGGTTTCTTGACTAAAATGTAGGTTCAGGGTGTGTTATTTTTATAGGTATGGGATTGGGAGACAATATAAGTCCCTATCCAGTCCATTTCATCATCAATGCAAGGTTAACATTCCAAAAGTTATGTGTTTGTAGAGGAGGAGTGGATGCCCAAACTTTTATACTTGAAACTTTGTTTGAAACATATACCACAGAACCAGAAAACAGGAAAGTTCCATTGACTTGGTCACACAGAGCTTCCCTGTGCTTTAAATATTGACCTAGGACCAATTCTTATAACATCCTGCCAGATGTCTGAGGTCCATGGCGACAACTGCTGGAGAGTGAATTATTGCACTGCCAGGCTTTATACTAAATTTTATCCTAAAATTAGAAAGGTGTAATACAGAAATACATGAAAAGAACGGATAAATTATGTATCTATATATAGAGATCGCTTACTCCTATAACTACTTTGAGTCAAAGTCATCAGGAAACATGTCAGACATTCAACATTTAGAATACCATGTTTGCCACAGCTACAGCAGGGCAGCTGGAGGGAAAAGGGTTTTTAAGTATATGCAAAGTTTCATTCTTAAGCTAACTGACCCTATCAGAGGGGTGCCCGAACCAAAAACAAACATCAAAGGAACTCTTGCTAACTCCTTGTCATCCTAAACAGAAAGTCTCCTCTAAAGTTGAGAGTTGTACCATGTCCTGGAAGATTTTCATTGTAAGCCTGAGAGCAAAATAATATTTCCCTGACTGAAGAAAAAAAAAAAAAAAAATAGCCAAAGCAAAAACCACATCTTATTTCCAAGAATGTGTTGACTTTCCTTCTCTCCCTTCCTCTGCTACTCACAACGCTGCTTTCTTTGAAGGTCAGTGCCAAATTAAACCAAAAGCCAACATGGAAATTAATATTCTTATGGGCACAACACTTTGAACCACTGCTTCCCACCCTACTACACCTATTTTCCCTCTGCCATGCCACCAAATCTGTAAGGTGGGTTGAGTTCAAATCTAGGCTAGGTCTGGGTCCAAACCCAAACAAAAATCTCATCTAAGAGAATTTAGCACATACTTCCCTAGATCATAAGATAAATTTATTCTTTCAAGTATTAATAATGACGGTAATACTAAGTATACTGACAGTTTACCAAACACTGTTGCTAAGTGATTGATACCTGTTGCCTCTCGCCTACATCACAAAAGCCCTAATGTGAGGAAAGTTCACCTTTACTACTGTCCTCATTTCAGAGATGAAAAACAGGTTTAAAGAGGCTAATTAAATTGCCTAAGGCTAACCCAGACTTCTGCTTCCTTCATCAAGCACAGGGTATGTTCTGAAATGAGACATAACTACTGTTGTACAAACAACTGTCTTGACTCAGACAGAGCCAAGATCACTGTTGCTCAAACACTGAATCATACATAAGGGCTCTCCAGAGTCCTTGAAACAAGGAGTTGGGACGGATGCCACCAATCCCATCTTGCTCTAGGGGGCAAGGAGATGTTGAGTTTTACTTTTGCCTTTACTCCAATAGGCCAATCACTTACATAATAACACTGGCTCCAAGTGACAAGGCAGAGAATCTAATCTTTTTTTCTTTCTCAGGTTTGACTTGTTTTCTCTGCTTTCTGAACAAAAATATGCTTGATGCAAAAAATGTAGGAAAATATTTTCCTTAAATATTTTTATACTTGTTTTACATTCAACATTTAGGAGAGATTGTGTCTGTTTCCAATCGACTTCCTATAGCATTCAAGATTAGTTCTAAATGGTTTTCTTTGGCAAATAACAAGCATGGGGAATGTCGTAAGCAAGAGCTCACTTTTAAGTCAGACTTCCCCTATGGTATCCCCATCCCAAAACCGTACTACACCTCCAAACATAATGGCAACTCATTTTCCAACTTGGAATTTCTACTCCACACCAAGCAAATAGGATTATCTTCCCAACAAGACCTGTATTTTATTCCCTGCCAACTTCAAACCTCAAAGATGCTTCTACTCAAAGTCCACCTTCCCCTCAACTCAGTGAGAATGTTCCCCCTCCTGCATTCCAACTCTTTCTCTAGCATCAGTACTCACAGCCTAGCCACACACTTGTATTAACTCAGGCCATTAGTCGGTTATTTTAGAACCTACTTACTATTCTACATCCTGCCATCTAGATGCTGTGAAACTACAGAAGAGTCTGTGTGGCAGGGCTACTGTACCATCTTTTAAATTCTCCTGAGTACCTAGGACATAATGCTTAACTGATGAGCTCATCGAGTGCTCACCCAATCCCTGTTTAGCACATGGTTCATTAAGATCATAGCTGGGCTGGGGTAATAGCATATCAGGACTGACTATTTAAATCAAAGAACTAAATGTCTAGGTCATCCCAGCATCAGACTGTCACAAATCAGGGAAATTAAATTGAACTGCAACATAATGTCTTCCAACTTTGTCTTAGAAATGAGTAAAACTTCAGAGTACATTTTA